AGTCACTGAAGGGCGAGGTTACAACAACGGTCAGTGAGTCTCATAACCTTTGCCTTCCGCGGTCCTGTTCAACACTTAACATAAGTGCTAGTGTAATAATTCAGTCAAAGACCAACTGAATCGAGAATACACTACAGTCTTTTTCCAAGTGGGGTCTCAGTGCCAGTCTAGACTGTGAACGAATAGTTTAGTCTTATAAGGAACCAATAGGTGATCTTTATGTTCGAAACTCTTCGAACCACACTACCTCAATATAAGACATGGCGTATGTATTGCATAAATAAATAAACTGCAAACATATGTACTTTGACCGAAACATGATTGCCAGATCAAAATGGAATTGATAGAATCTGCAAAACACAGCTTTTACAGCATACCTCTAACATCTTCTCTAGTAGCCATTAAATCGTGAGATTAGAGCATTCTGGGTCTGAATGAGTAATGACTTCGGTTTTATTGTAACTTAATGTTGTGTTTTTGTATATAATTGTTCTATGTGTTTGACCTGCCGAAGTAGCTTTTTGGGCACTGTTGTTTGTATTAGTAAAATTGCAGGTTTTGACTCTTTGTATCTCTCTCTCTGTCTGTTTCTCTCTCTCTCTCTCTCTCTCTCTCTCTCTCTCTCTCTCTCTCTCTCTCTCTCTCTCTCTCTCTCTCTCTCTCTCTTTGTCTCTCTTTTGTGAATTGATAAAAGGTTGAAAGAAAGGTAATTTATTTGATTACTATTATTTTTTAAAAATTTTTGTAGTTTTATGGGTTTGTCTTTGTTTTATTGATCTCACCTCTTTTTCTAAATTTTTTATAATTCTTGTAAGGCTTCTGGATGTATAGTGATGAGATGAGATGAAATCTTTAAAGTGGGGCTTTTTTTTTTGGGATAATTTGCATCCAATTTACCAAATTCTGTTTGAACTTGAGATTAGAGGACCACATCGATATGTGATTTGATGAAAAATAAAAAATTAGACAACCAAAATATTTAGTTACAGCTCTAACAAATAGTTTGATTCCTTTTTTTATTAATTTATGCTTTTAATAAGAATTGAATTGTATAAGAGAAGTGTTTTTAGTATTATTCTTCATCTCTTACATGGAGAAATACATATTTTTGTTTATCTCATCAGCTTAAGCATGGACATAAGTTCTGAAGAGGCCGTAGTACTGTTGCTTGTCGAAGAGATAATTAATCTACGTAATTTGTTTTTGATCATTGCCTACCTCTACATTAAGTTGGTTGTTCAACCTAGACAACATCGTAGAGTTAGACGTCGACTCGAAAATGCATCATATCGTATGTCAGACCGTTTGCCCTCTCAAATTGAACACATGAAAGTATTAGTAGAAATAAGTGACATGACATGCATTGAACAACTTCGCATGGATCGAAATAGCTTTGACCGGTTATGATTTTTGTTAGAACATGTTGGTGGGCTCCAGAACACCAGAAATATACAAATAACTGAGCAAGTAGCAATGTTTCTTAGTGTCCTAGCTCACTATAAAAAAATCGTGTAGTGAAATTTGATTTTAAAAGATTCGGTCAAACAATTAGCAAATTCTTCCACAATGTACTATGTGATGTCCTTCGTTTTCACCCTATCCTCCTTGCCCAAAGTATTGCCGTAACCAAGTCATGCACCGATTGGCGATGGAGATGGTTTAAGGTGAGGACGACAATACAAACAATTTTATGATACCAATATTATATTAACATAACTAAAGTTTACAATTTGTTCTTCTTCTGTATTAAATCACAGGGATGTTTAGGAGCCTTAGATGGAACCTATATTCCGGTGCGTGTCCCTGGACGCCTACACCCATGATATCGAAATAGAAAAAGTTCTATTTCTGTGAATGTGATTGGTGTGTGTACGCAAGAAATGAATTTTTCGTATGTATTGACTGGTTGGGAAGGTTCTGCGGCTGATAGTAGGGTTTTACGAGACGCCGTTCACCGACGAGGGGGCCTTCGTGTACCATCTGGTTAGTGTTACATAAAGTAATGTAAATATATATAGAATTTTTGTTTCTTTTGCAAGATTGTTGTTAAGAACAATTACTGAAACTAATATTTATTTAATTTAATTTTTCACTATCTGACATATAGTTCCCATATACACACAACAGGGAACTATTACCTCTGCGATGGTGGCTACACAAATGGTCTGGGTTTCTTGGCTCCGTATAGGGGTGTGCGGTATCATTTGGATGAGTTTGGTGAAGGTAACCGAGTGCCTACAAACCATAAAGAATTGTTTAACTTAAGACATGCCAGAGCGCGAAATATAATTGAGCGAGCTTTTGGAGTATTGAAGATGCGTTGGGCTGTCCTTAAGAGCAAGACTTATTTCGACATACGCACTCAAAATAAAATTATTCTTTCCTGTTTTCTCCTTCAAAATTTCATCCGGGCTACCATGCATGTAGACCCAATGGAAAATGAGGGTGATAATATGATGAATCGACAGAGAAACTCTGAAGCCCATGACCCCTTTGACTATGTAGACGTTGTTGATCCAACGACCGAATGGACAAATATGCGGGATGCTTTGGCTATTTCAATGTTTAGTGAATGGGATGGGCGAAGTTGAAGTGAAGCTAGCAATGTTCAAAATTGGAACTCATCTCTTTTTAATTGTACTTTTTTAAAAAAAAAAAATATTACATTGATGTTTAAAGAAATGTGATGTGAAAACTCCAGTTTGAAATGTGTGATTTGCATTTATTCTCCTTTTTTGTACTTTTTTGTGTGCTTTAAAATAATAGACAGGCCTATTTTTTATATGTTGCCTTATGTTGCTGATTTGTTGATTATACTTTATTACTGTTCATGTCTTTGATTACTAGTTACTCATGGAATCCATTGCTAGCGGGGGACGCAATTCACAGGCCGCCGGACAACGTCGAGTTTGGAATGAAGATGAGGACCGTGCTTTGATTATAGGTTTGCGCGATCTTGTTGCCCGCGGCTGGAAATGCGACAATGGATTTCGCAATGGTTATGCCATCATATTAGAACAACACATGCACCACATATTCCCGGGAACTACCATAAGAGCGGAACCTCACATAACATCCAAGATCTCGGTCTGGAAAAAAAATTATGGTTTGCTTTCGGAGATGCTTGCTACTTCTGGCTTTGGATGGACTGAAACATGGAATATGATTACTGTGCGGGAAGAGGATGTTTGGAAAGACTACATCAAGGTTTGATTTACATATTTCATTTCGTGATTTGCATTAGTAATAGTAAGTTCAAATAAGCATTTATATTGTTTTATTTCTTTTCATTGTTTTAGGCTCATCCAAAGGTCAAATCAATGCGTTACAAACCATGGCCCCTTTTTCTGGATTGGGTGGAAATTTTTGGAAAGGACCACGCAACGGGAGAGGGGGCAGTAGGTTTCACTGATGCGGTTAATAATGTCTTACATGATACGAATGTCGAAGTACCGAGCCCAAATCCCACTCAACACACAGGGCCGGAACATTTTGATTATCCTCAAAATAACTTTGACTCTTTTTCGGCTCAAGCAGGTGAAAGTAGTGCATCCGGTAAGTCTAAGCATTATGGAAAAAGAAAGCGTAATGTTGAGGTGGAAGACAAAATAATCGGGCTACTGTTCTCCGTTTTCCAGAAGACGAACAACCGTCTTTCAGAACTTTCCACACGTGTCGGTTAACAGGTTGATGCAAAAGCGCAACGAATTGCCGTTTACGATGCACTAAAAAAAATTCCTAACTTAACAACGGATGAAAGGGTCATTATTGCTCGGTACTTATCCAAAAATGTTGACGAGATGGAACTATTTTTAGCCTTGACGATGATGGAAGGAGCTCAATGGTGTACCAGATTTTGAGCGGGTCATCGTAGTAACAAAACCCACACGAATTTGTGTATATCATCGTCAACCTCCCTTTTGTCTTTCTGTAATGTGAACTTCATCACTGTTCTTAACTTATGTATGCGGATGTGAAGCCGTGAGGTTGAACGATGCACGTATTAGCCATTTTGTTCCGCTCCATATACTTATATACACGCTTGATACGTGTATTAGTTTTAAGCATGTACTTCCTATTTATGACATTGCAACCTACTGTTTCATTGGTATTTTGCTTACATTTTGGTTGTATTTATGTAATGTGGATTGACATTGTAATGCATCATGATGTATGAAAGTACTTATTTTGAATAGAAATATATGGACTGCCTATTTGTTTGTTTTACTTTCTTTTGTTATGTAAGGTGTGCCTAAAGCTGAAAGACTATGTTTTGTTCAAGGTTGTAACTTGTGCATATTGAATATAAATATGTAACGAAATTTCTGATATAAAAATTAAACTATGGATTTATGACAATGAGCCATGTTATTTGACTTATAAATAATATATTCGCTTTTCACTTACAAATAATATAATGGCATCTTCAAGTTTTGTCCCTGTTCATTAGGCATTAGTAATGTTTTTTATCCAAATAGATTTACCAGTAATATATATATACTCAAAAAACTTATGCCACTTCATCATATAGACTTCACAGTAGAAATACATGAATTGCCCGTTAATTTCCTTCATGACAAGTGGTTCACTCATGTCCAACTAATATAAATACCTATTCTACTTATTTCATTACAATAACAACAAGCATTACAATTACAAGTACCAACATCAAAAGTAATAAATCATAAATTTTTTCAATTTTATTTTTAATTTTGACATCTTTGTTGCTCTGACGATGCACTCCAACTTTCTCGCTAAATGGATCGTCTTGTCTTATGCAGTCTACATCTTCATTTATTGGATTAGCCCAACCAACGCACCCATCTCTATCACAAGCATAATACAATTTCTGAGAATTCAAACTTCGGGAGCCAACAATCTTAACGCGAAGCTTGAATCCACATTGATGACATATTTTTTCCTCATACTTGAGTGCACTTGGCCTTCCAAAATTTAGAGTGGTTGATGTTTGAGACATTTTGAACCTAAAAAGAAAAGAAATTAAAATATATATGGGGAAAAACATTCTTATACTGCATATTTATTAATGAAAAGCTATTATAGACTATTCACATTAACTTCTCATCAGAACACCATATGCAAAAATCACGTCATGGAAGTATAGTCTATTACGTAATAGCACATGGAAAGATTAGTCCACAATATACAGTAATCGTGCCATGTAATGTTCCTATTACATGGAAGCATATGTGATTGGCATATATTTTTCAGACCACAATCTACAGACTCATTCGACGAAAAGGCAGATATAAAGATTAAACAGAAAAATATTCAATTTCAACAGAAATGACCAGGAACTGACGAGCAACAGCAAGACATACATACATGGCATCTTTACTAATACATACTGATCTGACAATAAGACACAATTAAAGAATGAACACTACCAAGTATTGCAGTTACAACTACATATGGACTTTGAGAGATATCGAGTGGAAACATAAACTCGCCAAATCACACAACATAATTTATCAAAGAAGACCGAATCCCTAGCAACAATAACAGAACACTACATTCACATAATTTTTTTTGTTGCCTACAATATCGGAGAAGCCGCTCACCTTCGAACATTTGACAAATCATCATTCCCAAAATCAGAGATCCTAATTTACAGCACAAGTCGTATTGCCAATTATATCAGAGAACCCTCAAGCACAATATCAGATAACCCTAATTTAGGGAACTTCAATTATTATCGTGTACAAAAGAACCCTAAAACCTTTTTACCTGTGTAGTCGAACAATCGATAAATCCGCCTTTGTTAAATTGGGCGATGAAGATTCTTCTACAACACCTCAACGGTTGTAGGTTGCTGGAATGGGGTCTTCGTGTCTTCAAATAATTGGGATGAATTTGTCTCCACGATTTCGAATTTGTAATGGTAGAGGTCGCTGAAATCGGACCGTTGACTAATTATCTCCCACCACGCAGGTTTCTAATATTTTTTTTTTATTTTG